CGCGACTCGTGGAATATGTCCGAGCCACTTTACTATATCCCTAGAATTGTTATACTTGTCATTGTTTGGATAGAATCATGCAGTTCAAAGCATCAGTACCCCTGACCTGTTGATGACTATTCTAGTTTGGAAAATGAGGGGCTACAACTGCCCCTCAAAGCACGATTGTGTGAGAGGGTATGTTAGGAAACATAGTGTTAAAATTCTGGTGTTATAAGAAACAAGGGTAAAAGAAAATAATGCTCAGATAATCAAAGGATAAGTTTGAAGGATTTGAATTCAAGGGTAATTATCAACAATATCAGTTGGGAAGAATTTGGGTTGCATGGAAGAATGATGTTAAGTTGAGAGTCTTGACAATTGATTTAAATTTCATTCATGCATTAATTTCACTTTAAAAAACAGAACAGTTCTTTCTTACAATGGTTTATGCTTCGAATGATGAAGGAGAGAGATTGATCACCTGTGGCAGGATAAGTAAATGGACTATTATAGGTTTTCCTTGGACAATAAGTGGTGATTTTAATGTCATTGTAAACCCGATGGAGGCTTGTAATGGAATTGGTATTACCATTAGTATACTAAATTTTAGAGGGTGGATTGAAGAGATGGATTTGGTAGATAACCAAGCTTGGGTTTTTTCTTTACTTGGTCCAATGAGTAGAAAAAGAATCCCATTGTGCGCAAGCTCGACAGGATGTTGGTAAATGAAGAGTGGATGACTAGTCTACCCAATTAAGTGGTGGAGTTTCTGGCCCTTCTTTTTGTGATCACTATGGGGTATTAATAAAACCAGTTATACCAGGGAAGTCATTTCCAAAACTGTTTTGATTTTTTATATGTGGATTCAACATATTAGCGCTATGAGACAATCCTTAAGAAGTCTTCGTCCTCTTCCCAATATGGTCCGGTGTTACAGAGGATTAAAAAAAGCTGATATGATTCCCGGTCTCCAAAGCAGAAGAGAAAACCTGGTTGGAATCATCAATTCCCTGACCGGGGAAATGGAACGAGAGCCAGGGATTCGTTCCAGGAAGTTTCCCTAGCTAGTGACTGTAAATACCCGACCGGGTATTTAGCTCGAGTTTCGGGTCCTGCCGAGTTTTGTTACCTCTTTCGTTTAGAATTCTTTTCCTTTTTGGTGTTTTCATTAGGTTTATTTTCCATACCTATTTAAAGGGTTGTAAGCGACGAATTTTGGAAGACTATTGAGCCGATTAAGACTTTGATGAATAGAAAAACTCTTTTGTTCTTGAGTGTTTACTCTTGAATGTGAGTATGGTGGACTCCAAGCTCGAGTTTAGCTCTATATCGATCAAAACCATAATTGGCGGCCATCTACACTGATATTGTTCAAGCCTCTTCCCGTGGGTTGAAGTTACACGAAAATCCTTTTCCATCCTATCCTTTTATTTTGTGTTCTTGAGAAAATCCCAGGAACCCCTAAAAAATGAGAGCTGCGTATTTTGATTCGTGAGCAAGTTCGGATTCCCGGATTCCGCTTACATTAAGTAGTATCAGAGCCCCGTTCAAACCCAACGGCGATTTGAGGTATTTTATTTCGGTTTTTACTGTTAAAAAAATTAAGAAAAAAAATGTTCATCTGCCACAAAGCTGAACGTGGTTGAAAGATAAGAAGAAAAAATAGATATCTTGGATTTTGGTTTGTGTATTTCTAATTCAAATCAGTGGTGAGGAGAAGAAGGTCACAAGCTATGCTTCAAGACATGATTGATCCAAAGTATGCGGCGGACATGAATGCATTTGTCGAAGTCGAAAAGAGGCTAGTCAACACCAGTCTTTGGAAGGACATACAGAAGACGTTGGCTTCCCTAATTCAAGCAACGACCTGTTCGTGATGATTCAACACCAACTGGGTTCCATGGTTGGTAGCCATTGGGGCATGATCTATGCTTGCATTTGCAACCTTGATGATCTTTGAAACACCTAGTTTCATGCCCCGGTGTGCTTGTGGGTTGAATGAACTTAAATGTTAGCTATTCGGCCTTGTGAAAATTCGATGAAGACATGTTGCCTATATTGGAACCTAAGTGCGGGGGAGTTGTTTTTATCCCCATTGTGCTTGACTAATTATTTATTTCCACGTATGGTGCATGTTCGTAGTTATTTTGCAGGATGGTCGACCAGATGCATCCATATATTAGCTACTTGGTGGATCACCCCGTGTATGGCGACCCATGAGATGTGGAGGAATGGGGATATAGGGACCCATTGGCACCATGGACATGTTTTACATGCTCCATTGTGGAGCTACCATTTCAGCAGATGTTGTCCATCCCCAGAAGCGCATTCTCCCCAGCCTCTATAATCATATATATCGGGAGATGTGCTTGGAATTTTATTCCCCCTTCATGCACGAGCAGCCTCAAGGATGGTGCGCCTAGCCGTATGTCGAGTTCATCCTTGAAAGAGTCCACCATACCATCGGTTTTGAAACGTTGCGTGGAGATTTGGAACTCCACACCGGGATCATGACGGTCTCAAAGAGGGTATACACTCAGGAATTTAATGTCATTCAGGTGTTTGAGGCAATCTGTCTACTAGAAGAGAGTGAGCCTCCTTTTCATGGGGTCTACCCCAGAACGACTCAATTCAAACCCTGGTGGAGGATCCTCCACATGCTTCTGACTCATTCTGAGTCTCCTAACTGAAGGACAGGTCACTCTCTACTGGATGATGGCTTTGTACACTATGGGACGACCCCGAGAGCCACTTCACTTGGATTCTGTGGTAGAGACTACTTTCTCGAGGATCTTGGGTTGTCCACGAGTCTATACTATGCACATTGGCCCCATCATCATCAGACTTGCCCGGTACTTTGGAGTGGATCCCACCCACTACACGGAGGTGTACATGACCGATATCTTCCCGATGGAGACACTCCATCACTGGCGGATCCAGGGGGTGGCCACCCTAGGCCCCGACCCAGCCCTCCTCTGGATCCGTAGTTACTATAGTCCTTATGAAATTTTTTATTTTAGACATTCAATCCAGTGTTGTTCTATGATAAGATTGGGTTTAACTAGAAAAATTATCAAGTTGAACATATTCAAATCACTATTCTAAATTTTGCCTAGAAATTTTAGCCCCAAAGATTATGCGTCTTAAGAAAACAATGAAACCTAAAATTCTAAAAAGTTAAAAACGTAAAAGACTAAAAGAAATATGAGGTTTGTTCCCTTACAAATTTACTAAAGCAGCTGGTGTGCAGGGATGGACACACAATGTAAATTGATTAGTCGATTGATTTATCTAGTGTTGATGCTGCTTGTTTCAACAGCTACTAACGAAGAGAACCTTTTTAACAATGAAAAATGTGAGAACTGATTTGCTCAACAAAATGAGCGACGAATTTCTCGCCGATTGCTCAAGTATTTTATTTGAAACAGTGTATACTATTGGTATGGATGTAGACTTCATTATTGATGCATTCCCTAAATTAAAATACAGTTGTGTACAATTTACATTGCAAAAAACTATAATCATTATATTTTTTTACGGTTCTAATTTTCTAATGAAATGCAGCCCAATACTCTTTTGTGTTCTGGATCCGCCGCTGCACTCCATCATATGTTGTTGATTCGAGTCGAGCGACGCATAGAGTACATCAAGAGCTAGAGCCCGGCCAGAGAGCACCACCACCACTACCATCAAGAACTTCAATTTCTTCCACCTTCCGTGAAAAGTCGGGATATTAAAGAATATCGAAAAGTCTTATTCTATCTCGATTCAATCCCTTAGAAGAAAGGAAGGTTGCAAACCTCTTCATTTCCTTGAGATCTTTCTGTAACTCAACAGAAACCAACAAGCCATATTAATGTTATATCCCTAAATAATGGAAAAAGAATAAGAGAAGGAAATCAGACATATTCTTCTTTCCTTGGTGGTTGCAGTAGCTACCGGGCGGTCTAGCTGGTTCCGATACCAGGTGGTAATGCTTGTGACTGCAATTATTGAATTTACAACTCGCAAAAAAGGCTAAATGCATTTTCATTTGTTAACAGTTGGCTACTATCACAATTGGTAATATTCACCTAAACCTTTGTACCAAACATTAAACTTGGATGTAGACCACTGTTTCACAAAATCGGAAAAGCAATGAGTATATTATTGATGGGGTAGAGTGGAAGGTTGGGGACCTTTGTTTGTTTCTATAACGATTAAGTTAAATGAGATAATGGGTTGAAAAGCTTGATTGAGAAATCCCAACCTACATGGACCTCATCTACAATTTGTTTTATTATTTTTCATATCTCTCAAATTATTTAGACAATGTTTAAGGTAAAGATCGATGTGTTTGTATCTAGTATATGCTTAAATGCCCTGTACGTATAAAATATTTGTTTAATTCAAAGGTTCGGGAAGACCTAGTATAGAATTTCAATTCACCTCCAGGATTGTTTGTTTAGAAAACAAGAACCATAAGTGGCCTAGTTTGAAAAGTGAAAAATGTGAATCAGTTTCCCTTTTACAATATTTGCTATATAGTAAACAGATTAGTTTGTTTGGAAAACCAACGAAGATATGCTAGTTGTTGAAGCAAACGATACCATCGTTTTTTATTGAATCTGTACATAATATATCGAACGAGAAAGTTATGTCGCACAAGTTAGATACTTTGATGATGAATATGAGAATCTCCCTTCATATTATGAAATTGCGCTTTATAATTATATCACCGTCGCATATTATTAAATATTCCTCTTTAAAAATTAGTTTAAATGAAAATATTATCCATGTCCTTCTTAACCTACGTAAAATACCAAACTGTTCATATGATCTTGAAGACTTATATGATGAACATCACTTGACAATGTGTTGTCGGCCGTGGGTTGATCCGGGTTGGCCGGACCCGGCCTTAAAAACGGGTTAAAATAGCCCATTTGAGAGTTGGCCGGACCCTTGACCTACCCGCAGGTTGACAACCTTACTTGACAATTGATATACAATAAATTTAGAAAAAAGCCAAATTTTCATCCATTTCAATCAATTTTCTTGCCTTAACAGCATTAAATCACCAGCTATTGCCATCCCCCCACCACCTCACTAAAACCCTTTTCCCTCTTTCCGGTCCTTTTCTTTTGTTTTTCACTGAAATCAATTAACAACGGAAAACAATTCTCCACATCTATCTCTATAAAACCTCTCTCCCCTGAGCGTTTTCCTCTCTCTCCATTGCCACACTGAGCCTCCCTCTCTTCCTTCCTCTGCCATCCCCCCCAATCCCCCACTTCAGCCGCGCCTGCTCTCTCCAAGCTCAATCTCAGGTTCCTTCTGAATCTATCTTGAATGAAAAATGCGCATCTCTCTTTCTTGCATTTTGGGTTTTTGTGTTTTTTAACTGGCTGCTTTGCTTTCGCTTTTGGGATTAGATCTGTTCCCTTATACTGTAACTGGCATTGGTGTGTAGTATTACTCTGTAATGGCGGCGGTGTTTGACTCTCCTCTCCTTTCGTTAGCTTAATTTAGCCTTCATGAGCTGTAATCTGTTGATTGGAATAAGAATAATAGAAAAAATAGCCTAATTGAGCCACCAGCTCAAATTTTTGCATGCAGGACTCGCCCTTTCCTTTCGTCATTTTCGATGTGCTTAAGAAGCTGTTGCAAATTGCCGTTTTCTTAAGTTTCTCTTTCTTGTTTTGGCCCACCATGGTTGAACCAGTCAAGATCTGAACTTTCTCCCTCATTACTCACTTAGATCTGTTATGCTTTCAGTTCATACGATTTCAGCATGTGGGTTCCTAAAATCTTCTCCCCAAAACTATCACCAATTTTGTTTCCCCCCTTTTGCTCACATTGCTAGTCACTTGTCTCCCTCTGGCAGGAATCTGAATATAGTGGAATTTGTTATAGGGGTTTGCTGCTGGATTTTGTTCAGATGGAGTTCCCTAGCAAGTTGGTGTTGTTGTTCCTGATAGCCATACTGTCGTCAACACTGTCTCAATCGGCTACGAGCCCTCCAGCCCCAGTCCCCTTCAGCCCTGCACCAGCTCCAGCACCAACTTCCCCATACGTTAACCTCACCGATTTGCTTTCAGTAGCCGGCCCTTTCCACGAATTCCTGGGCTACCTCCAATCGACGAAAGTAATCGACACATTCCAGAACCAAGCGAACAATACCCACCAAGGAATCACCCTCTTTGTCCCTAAAGACTCTGCTTTTCGAGCACTCAACAAGCCACCACTCCCTTCCTTATCCAATGTCTCCGCGGACCAGCTCAAGCAGATCATGCTCTTCCACGCGTTGCCTCGGTTCTACTCTTTGGCAGACTTCGACAAGCTCAGCCAGAAGAACCCTGTGAGCACATTTGCAGGTTCCGGCCAGTTTGCACTCAACTTCACTTACACCAACGGGTTGATCCGGATTGATTCTGGTTGGAGCCAGACTAAGTTGAGCAGTGCTGTGCATTCGACTAACCCTGTGGCTATATACCAAGTTGATAAGGTGCTGCTCCCTGAGGCCGTCTTTGGGACCGATATCCCACCAATGCCGGCTCCTGCTCCTGCTCCTGAGAAGGCGGCGAGTCAAGCTCCCGACGCAGATAGTCCTTCTGCTGATGCCACGTCGGGGAAAGGAGGGAAGGGTTCAGGGGATTCTACTTCATCAGCTGGTTCTGCTGGGCTTGGTTTGTTGAGCAAGTTGGTGGTTGCTTGCGGAGGAGTGATGATGTTGTTGTTGTGAGAAGTTTTAAGAGTCGTTTAATTTATGTTTCATCCCTTTTTCGAGAACATTTCAATTTGTGGGCTATTGGAGTTGGTGTTTTGGGATTTGGAGACCGTATTTATTTTATTTATATGTATAATGTCATTCTGGATTCCAGTGAGGTGAAAGTTGGTCTTGTGACCTCTTTTCTTTTCCTGGTTCTCTCTTGAAATTTGGTACTATTACAGAAGATTCAGGGGAAAGAGGTGATTTGTTGCCTGGAAATTGTTTGGTTACTGAGAAAGCCGGGTGACGGGTCATCAATCAATGTGAAAGGTGTAAGGAAGATTTTGTTTATGGAGAGGGAAAAGGACACTTGGTTCTTGCTTGTCCTATAAGCAAAGAAAAGTTTGCTTCTTTTTGGTCATTTTGGAAGGAATCCGAAACCTTATTCTAAGGAATAGTTAGGAAGTTAAGCAGGGTGAGGTTGGAACGTGTTTAATGATTCCAATGGCTTCACCTTGAATACGAATAAGACAGACTTTGCAGTGTCCTGCGCCTAAGTCATAGCAGCATATGCCAGTATGCCCTCAAGCGGGTTCGACTCAAACCTCAGTCAGCTACTGCTGTTATTCTGACATGTAATCTTCCATTCTGCGGCCTGCGGTAGGAACAAATCTTGGCAGTCCTTTTGTTTCTCGAAACTCAACAGTTACCGTAGGCTGACATGCAATCTACCAAAGACGCCAGAACATGATGGTGAACTGGAAGTTGTGATGTATAGTTACAGGAGCAGAATGGCAATCATGATTCCTGAAGGAGATCCATTTAATTTTTTGCTACATGCTTTTATGGCTGTCTCATGGACATTTCTCGACAAATTGCTTACTCATTCGTGTTTTAACTTAATCATTACAAAACAGGTCACAGCTTTAGTGTTGCCTGCCTGGTCGTAACCCCACTTCCATTTTCGCTTCCCTTATTGTTGTCTTGCAATCATTTTTCCAGCGGCATATTAAAAACTGTGATCCATTGCATAAATTTAATTGTTTCCACAATCACCCATCTAACTGATTTGTTGCTAGAGAGCTACTTAACTCAGGTTTGAAAATGATTTAGGGTTAGATGAGAAAATGATCTATCCGAATATCACAATAAAAATCCCGATTAATGTCCATGTAAAAACCTTAATCGGGTACAATATAGGGCAAATATGTTTTAAAAGTCAAGTCCGAGGCGGTCCATGTACACCTACTTCAATTGTTTGAAACATTATCTAGCAAATTGTTTTTTTATTTTTTATTATGGTTTATAGCTAGAGCGATTGTAAAAGTAAATGGTTTGAACACTAATTGAGATCCGAGTGTTGCTCCCCCTAGCTAGTAATCATGACTTGTTAGATCGAAGGCAAATGTGTGGTAAAAGCGGTTGTAAACTGTAGGGAGCGCAACAAATGAAAAAATTTCACTCTCTCGGTCACTAGGCCAAGAGATTTCGAATCAAGCTTACCAAGGTAGCTCTCTTGGCCAATCGACTAAGGGTTGCTTAGGCTTCACCCTCGAATCGTAGTTCGAAATGTCAAAATACAACCTTACTCAAGGGGCTAATACGTATTAAGAGGTTTGCCCTAATTCAACCTAAGTAGGTGACACAATTTGGCCAAGGAATTGCAGCTTTTACAAGTATCTTAGCAAGAAGGGGATTTCCCTCTACCTAGGTTAAAATAGCATAAGATTTGGAAATGTAAAAACACAACACAACCTTCATGAAAATACCACCTAACTTGTATTAAACACAATCACATACAAGTCATTCAATCCATACAAGCATTCACATAATTATAGATAGGGCTTACAAACACCCAAGTGAAAGAGAGAACTACCCCATGCTAAGTAGAGGGAATACACAAAGAATAAGAGAGAAACCCATCTTGATGATGTTTTCCTTCTCCCTTGTGGTTTGAAGATCAACCTCGAAGGAAGGAATTCGAAAAACTGTGCTCTCGGATGAAACCCAAACCTCTCCTCTTGTTCGTCACTTTCTCACTTTAGAAAGAAGAAGAAGAAGAAGTGTCTCTCACTAGGTTCTCTCCTTTCTCTCTTTCAGCTCAGCCCTCCTTATATACCCAGATCGACGGTGTTTCATGGTCCCAGTTCACGGTCGTGAACATTGGCCATGGACCGTGATGTCAAGCAAAAGTGAGTCGTTTCACTAAGGCACTTCACGGTCTAGAGCTGGTTTTCACGGTCGGCTGATCGTGAAATGTTGAACGCCCGCGAGGTATACAAAATCCTCTTGGACTCAATGCGCTTCATGACCCACACCTCTACTTTACAGTCTGGCTAACCGTGATCTTCTGTCCTCCACTGTGAACTGTTGTTGTTTGCTCCCTTTTGACCGGTTTTTGCCCCTTTTCGTCCAAATTTCGTTCAATGGATTGATTTCACCTGCTAGGATCTGAAACATACTAAAAACAACGACAACCTAGCGTAAAACCAAACCTCATGATGTAAAAGTGCCTCATACATCTAAGGAAAATGAGGGTAAATGTGTACAATTATACCCGAATCACTCCCACACACATAGACATTTGCTTGTCCCTAAGCAAACCAATTCCAAACAAGTTAATATCTTAGCCTAACAAGATAACTTGGGGACATATCAAAGGGCTCAAAGCGGGTGAATCTCAATGGCTATTGGGCATCAACACATGAACTGTTACAAGCAATACCGGCATCCACCACAAATGACATTCGAATGCATTATGAAAGTGCAAACGAGAAGTTCTCACCTTGTTCCCAAATCAATACACGTCTCAACAGGACTACTCACCAACTACAACTAACCATGCATAGAGTTCAAGTCCAAGGAAAAAACGAATGAGCGACATAGGTCCTCACCGGGATAAGATATGAACATGCAAAATGTGAACGAATCACTCACTCTCGACCAGTGAGGTTGGGACCATTTGGTGCAAAAGACTGGTTCACCACGGGTTCACCACTAAATGCTAGAGTTCACCACGGGTTCAAATGATTGGCAAGGGTCTTGAACATGGGGAAAATGCCTTTTGGGTGGTGGCAAGCAAAGCATGAGGTTCTACATCTTCAACCTTAAACCATGGGTTCTATGATTTCGACTAGAACCATTCCTACAATCAACTGCCACTAGCATCGACCAAAAACCACACTTCCCTTCTTCCAAACCACTACCAACCACGTCTGCATTCAAACACACTTCCTCGGATAATCCTGCTATCCAAATTTCAATCTTAGTAGTGAAGTAGGTCAACAAGCAACTAGGTGTTTCAATGGCTTGAGTGGCAAGAAACCCTTCTAGAGCATAAACATCATTATTTGTGGCAACTCTCTAACTTTTATTTACCCTGTTTATTACCTCTTTTTCAATACTTTTTCTACTTTCCTTTGTCTCTGTCTTTTTTTTTTCGAGGGAGTACTAGAGAGCTAAACACATGTCACTTAAACACTTAACGAATAATGCTCTCTATTAAGAAATTCTTCCAACACTACCTTTTCATTTCTAGCAGGAACCATGCAAAATCCACCTATGCTGAACTTCAATGGAGCTCAAAAGCGAGAGCTCCGAGACACAAGGATGACTCACAACGATATAGACACGAAGAAAGGAAAGGGTCGTTCTATCAGCAACCATTAAGCTCAAAATGCACAAGATGCTAATATGAGAACGACCCAAAGTCACACGGTTCAAACGGGTTGACTAGGGATAAGATATTTCGGGACAATCAACTTTTGGGCTTGGACTAAACCTATGCCTCCATCATACTCACTAGTGACAACGTGAATGTTACTCGCCATGGTAAGAGGGATTTATCACACATGAAAAAGACGATCGACACAAATCTCACATGGCTACCTAATCACCCAATCATCTATTCCAATTTCTCACTCTAGAAATTTGAAGAAGAAGAAGAAGTTTCTCTCACTAGGTTCTCTCATTTTTTCTCTTTCAGCTCTGCCCTCTTTATATACCCAGATCGACGGCGTTTCACGATCCCAGTTCACATCCATGAACATTGAGCTTGGACGGTGATGTCAAGAAAAATTGCATCGTTTCACTAAGGCGCTTCACGGTCTGGAGCTGGTTTTCACGATCAGGTGATCGTGAACTGCTGAACGCCCGCGAGGCAAACAAAACCCTCCTGGACTCCATGCGCTTCACGGCTCGTGCCTCTTCTTCATTGTCTGGCTGACAGTGATCTTCTGGCCTCCATTGTGAACTGTTGCTGTTTACTCTCTTAGAATGGAGTAGAAGGTTGGAGAAGAAGAGGAAAAGAAGAAGTGGATTAGAGCTTTGAAGGAGAATTTTACAGCACAAGAAAACTCTACTTGATTCGGGCCTAATTGTACATATTTTACCCCTGTTTTCCTTAGGCGTTTGTGGCAATTGTGCTCCTAAAAGGGTGGTTTACGCGAGGTTTCTTGTATTTTAGCATGTTTCAGGATTTAACAGGTGAAACCAACCCCGGAGTCGGAAGTTGGACGAAAAGGAGCGAAAACCGGGAGAAGAGGTGAAAAACCGGCAGTTCACGGTCTGCTAAGAACGTGAAGAGGAGTTGTTGCCCGTGAACATCAAGGCGTCCAGGGCGAATTCCGAAGTTACTGACGCTGAGTGAGTTCACGGTCACTAAGATCGTGAACTGGAGCTGTTGCTCGTGAACCTATGCAAGCGAAGCGGTGCGTTTCGACGCCAACCTTGAATTCAAGGACGTGTTCAAGAGTTTACGGCCGTGGACTAAGGCCGTGAACTAAGCCTGATCCCTGTTTAAAAGGAAAGCTGAAAGAAAGAGAGAAGGGGGGAGCCCAAGAGTGAGAAAGTGTCTTCTTCTTCGGATTTTAGAGAGAGTGAGAACGAACAAAGGAAGAAAGAAGGCTAGGGTTTGCTCCAAGTGGTGAATTGGGGAGATTCTCCCTAAGAGAATATCAACACAAGCTCAAAGGAGATTGGAGGCATCACCATGATGGTTTCTACCTCTTCCTCTTGTGTTCTTCCCCTTTCTAGCATGGAGTAGTTTCCTTTTTCACTTGGGTGTTGTGAAACCCTAACTATTTGCCATGTAGTTGTTATGTGAATTGAATGATTGTTTATGGGTGTTATTTAATTCAATTAGTGAGGTATTTTCATGTTGATTGTGCATGTTTGTGCTTAGCAATCTAACTGGCCATTCTAACCTAGATTAGAGGGGAAACCCCCCTTTCAATGGAGGATCAATTGAGTTGGGATTCCTAGGGCTTCTTAAGCCACCTATCTAGGTTAGTGTAGGGTAAACCTCTATATTGAACTAAGCAATTTGGCTAAGCGCGATTAAGCCAACCAACCATTGGGTTGAGTGAGGGAGTAAGTCTACCATCGATTGCCATAACCGAGAGGGCCACTTGAAAAGCCTATGATGTATCCCTCGGTTTGGAAATCGAGAGTGTGGTCTACGACCATATTTTCGGCCTCTAGCGGTTCGCGGTCACCTTGCCCATAGCAATCACTTCGATTCACATACCATGGTAGTAGTTAAGGGTAAGCGACACCCGAGTGATCCTTCTCACGAAGAGCTTTCAAAACCATTTACTTTTGCCTTGCTTTACTTTAATTAGAAAACTTTTCAACCAAAACCGATTCGCTAGATAATGATTCAAATGACAGAAGTAGGGGTACACGGACCGGCCGGAGTCGATATTTAAACATACTAGCCATGTATTACACCCGACTAAGGTTTATACTTGGACCTTAGGCGGGAATTAGTTGTGATATTCGGAGCGAGTCACTTCTTTCTTATTTGTGTTAGCCACATTCACAAAAAAACTCGGACTATGAACTAATTTTAACGGTGACTGGAGAAATGTATGGACCATCGAACAAACTTGGACTATGGACTAATTTTAATGACCACTATAAAATAAAATAAAAAATTAAAGTGACAAACGTGAAACAAATAAGTAATATGAGTGACGAAATTTGTATAAACAAACACAAATCCAAAAAAAACTCAGAAGTGGAACTCAACTGATGATTCGCCTCCATTAGTTGGGGCTTGGGCCAACTCGTCTAGATAGTAAGCCCAGGTAGGTGACTTGCGTGACCCACAGTCACAGCCCAACCCACCATCTTTAACTAACGTCACCTCAGGGGCCCGCCCTCCCCGACGAAGAAGGACCGTAGAATTTTTACCAGCTTCCACGATTTGTACGGTCATCCCCACGCCCACAGTAAATCTGCCTCGCCGATGATAACCCAACACCACACCCTACCGGTTCCCGCGAAAACCCGCCGCCGCTGCTGCTGCGGCGATTATACCTTAACTCTCTCTCTCTCTCTCTCTCTCTCTCTCTCTCGAATCAATCCTAATCCAATCGTATTATTAGTTTTCAATTTTTCCATTCCGTTTTAATTAATTAATTAATAAATCACCCGCCCTTCCTCCCCCAGCCAAATCCCCCTTTTCTTTGTCCTTTTCCTTTCCACCTCTGATGGCGAGATCCGGCGGCGGACGATGAGCAGGGGCGGCGGAGGAGGAATTCGGACGACGTCGTTCCACAGAAAATCATCATCAGAAACAGCGTGCTTGGTGGTCGGCTGCGTCACGATGAAAGGACTCTTCAAGCCCAGGAGCCGGACACCGGTCGAGCTCGTTCAGCACCTCCGTGAACTCATCCTCTTCGCCCTCCGCAACCCCTCCGATGTCCCCAAAAAGAAGCGCGAAGACAAGGTTCCTCTCCTCTCTCTCCCTCCCTCCTTTTCTCGCCCTTTCGATTCTACAATCAGAATTGCCTTCGGAATCAGAGATTAGAATTACAATACCAATCGACGATTGCACTTGTTGCATGCTCATGTTGAGGCTCGATCCGACGTTTGCTGGATCTGCTCCAGATGGGTTGGGTTGGATTGCCATTTTTTTTTGGCACGTAATGTCAATCTGCAATTGTACAGACCCTGATTCATTCATAAGAATGCGAGACAACAACAACGTACGTAGTAGTGAATCCAAAATTGTTGTGTGTGTTTTTGGGCAGATGGCAGAGCTAGGAAAAACTCTAGTGGAGATAAGGACTATCCTATTTGGGGAAGGCCAATCCGAGCCGAATGCTGAGGCTTGCTCACAATTGACCCAAGAGTTCTTTCGTGAGGACACAATACGTATCCTCATCGTTTGCATCCCAAAACTCGACCTCGGGGTAAATATTTGTGCCGTAACCTTGTTGCTGAGATTCAGCCCTACGGAAAGTTTGATTCTTGCTGGGTTTTTTTTTTTTTTCCTTTACAAAATTGTTTGCAGTCTCGTCAGATTGCGGCACGGGTAATTACGAACTTGCAGAAGCAGAAGGTGCAAGGGAGGCTGGTGGCTCCGCAGTACATGGAGAGCAATTTGGATCTTTTGGACATTTTGCTACCTGGGTAAACCTTTTTAATATTGGCTTTTCTATGAAGCAAGACAGTCTATTCGAATTCAGTTTGCATAAACGTGTGATTATTTGGTGTTAAAATGCAGAATGTGATCTTATCTTTCGTTCACAGTTATGCAGATGACGAGATAGCATTACCATATGGATTAATTGCAAGGGAGCTAATATGCCATCAGGTGGTGGCAAAGTAAGCTCCCGCTGCTGCTGCTGATAACTAACAGATCTGTTTTGAATTTTGATTAACATAAAGCGAATTGTGTTTATTGAATCTGAGTCTGTTCTTCAGGTATGTCCTCGAATCAGAGCACATGCGCAATTTCTTTGAATACATTCAGATTGAGACATTTGAAATCTCATCGGATGCTCAAGCCACTTTCAAGGTATACGTGTTTTTTTTTTTTTTTTTGTATATGTGAGTGTGTCTAGTAGTCAACTTGTATGATTTAATTCCAAATCTATTATGGATCTGGAAGAGGCCTTTCTTAATTCACCCAATCCAAGCACAATTCGTTTACCCTTTTTTTTTCTTCTTGACTGACATTTCTGATTGTCCCGTTAAAAAAAAAATCATCATTGCAGGAACTTCTCACAAGACATAAATCAACCGTTGCTGAATTTCTTACCAACAATTTCGACTGGGTAATTAAGCTCAAACTTTTCTTAGATGTTTGAGGAGTTCGGTTAACGTTCCGAATGAGGTGTTTATATTTAGCTATACACATGGCTAACGTCTCTGTGCTGTGATCTTCCAGCATAAATCAAACAAGCGAAATTCAATGTTTGAGGTGTTTTTTGAACTAATTAAGCTGTTCATTAACAGTTCTTTGTGGAATACAATTCAAAGTTGCTAGAATCCAAGGAATACATAACCAGAAGGCAAGCTGTCAAGGTATCCATTTCTTGATCCCTACATATACTGACTATTGGCAAATTACTCCCCAAAAACTTGCACCTTTTCTACTTTGTAATACCCCTTCTTACTTACTCACTCAGCTTCTGGGAGATATGCTGCTTGATCGATCGAATTTGGTGGTGATGGTTCGGTATGTGAGCTCGTTGGATAACATGAGGATAATGATGAACCTTTTCAGAGTAAGCTCCTCTCTCTCTCTCGCCCTCTCTCTCTCTCTACAATTTCTGGTATCCAAAATTTGATGATGCACCAATTTTTGCCTTGTTGCTTGGGCAGGAAGAAAAGAAGTCGATACAGATGGAAGCTTTCCATGTGTTCAAGGTATAATTTTCAAATTTGATGGCTGACACCTCCATGCTTCTGTTTAAAGACACGATTCACATCTTCCCTCCATTTGATTCTACCTTAATTTGGCTGAGTCAGCATCGCCAAATAGAATTGTTATGTGACAAAGTCACTGCATACCAGTGCATACGCATTTTATGTACCTCAAACTCGACCCAATTCTTCTCCAACTTGACCCCAGAGCCCGCAAAACCTGATTCCTAACCCATTTTAAAGTTCTCTTGAGAATGGTTGAGTTGGGTGCGTGAGGTGTTTACTGGGCGATTTTCGTGATAGTACGAGGTTTGTGTGGCATGCTCCAACTAACGTGCCATCGGATTGTTTTGTTGCCAGCTTCACGTAGTTTAGTTAGCATTCTGTGTTTTTCAGTTTGGGAACTGTTTTGTTACAATCTCTATTATAATCTTGCGACCATTTAAGCATTTAACCACTGTTTCTGCAGCTGTTTGTGGCAAACCAAAGCAAGCCTCCTGAGATCATTGGTGTGCTGATTCAGAACAAGAACAAGCTCCTCAGGTTCTTAGCTGGTTTAACAACTGAGAAAGGTGTGGCATGAACTTTAATTGTTTGAATCTAAGCAATCTCTCTCTTCCTTGGATTGCTTTAGGAATCGACCATGTTTAGCATCTTAAGCATTGTTTGTTTGTTTTGCAGAGGATGAACAGTTTGAGGCAGACAAATCTCAAGTGATTAGGGAGATTGCAACCTTAGACACCAGAGAACGTGCAATCACTGATTCAGATAATGAAGCTGAATCCTAATCTGATAAGGATTTTACTCTGAACACATGATATGGAAACAGACTTACTAACATCAATCCTTCTTTCTTTCTAGGACTTGTCTGAATTCTCTGTTTGTTTCTTCCTTTTTCCTTCTCCTCTAATTGCCTTTTTGTTTTAAAAAACACGGTAAACAACAGAGTTCATCACAGCAGATAGTGCTTGTATAAAGAATCAAAGACTACAACTACGCAAGTATTTCGTTTTAGTTTTCCCTTTTACCGGTCACATGAAGCACCGTGTCTTATATTCTGCTTGTTTCATGATCCAATTACTATTTTCGTATTAAAATAGAAGAAATATGTGAATTAATGATTTATCTTCACAACCAAGGTTGTCAAACCGGTTTGTGCCAGTGTGCCGGTTTAGCAAGTGGAATGGTTCGACCAGTGGCACATACCGGTTTATGCCGGTTCATGCCGGTCAATATTACAAATAAAATTATAAATACTCATTTTAAACATGACATTTAACGTCAATACCTAAACATTTATACTTGAATCCAACAAATAACATCAATATTTAACATTTATACTCATAATATAAATAATAAAATAATTTTTAACAATTAAAGTCACTAAAATAAGGTTATTTTACTTAGAGATTCATATATCGATCATGCCGGTCATACCGGTACAGGTTGAACTAGGTACAACCGGTGGCACGCCGGCCGGCGTGACAACCCTGGTCACAACACAAAGGACTCATATTTGGAAGAGTACTTTAAATCCAGAGCATCCGTAAGTGGTAAGGTTCAATTTTTATTTTATTTTTCCTGGAGAAAGACCGTCGTTGAAGTGTCCTAATATCATTACCGACTACATGAGTTGGAGCAAATCCATTTCATAAAAAAGGATCTATCCATTAAGGCACGAATTGCTCACATATGTGACAAAATTTACACTATGGTCTTTGCTAGTTAAGTAATCGATCGCAAAATTGCATTCTCTTGTACATGGGAGATTTGAACCCTCCACTCGTAATTCCACAAATGCGAACTTGTTGAGGAAAGAAACCATTTCCCAAGCAATCGTCAACCACTCACCGGCTCCTTTCACTTATGCCACAATAATTGAGCAGATTACCAGATTACAGAGGTAGACTTCAGGCTAGCTCCATCTCTGTTCATTGTTTAAGTGGTGGCTTAAAACACTAGCTCCATTTTTATTAGATTGATGTACGTGCAAGAACAAGTACTTTTCCAAGTATGTTCTGTGTTCTTAACTAGAGCTAACCCAGTGAGATTACAGTTTACACTTTGCTTTTTAAAATCCAGTAGTCCAGACTATATATTTGGTAAAGAGGGGCTTGGGTAAATGGTAGAAGAAAGAATCACATACAAAACAAATGGTCTCTATATATTATGTGACAAGATCTAAACTATAGCAGTACGTACAATCACTCAAACCATCGATCAAATCTCTCCCAAAATAGAATAGACGCTCTCTACAAACCATCGAGTCCTGTAAAACAAGCCCTTCCCACCATATAGTGTATAAACACTAAACTCGCAATGACAGACCCAGAAAAGAAGAGAAGAAGACCAAGGAAAATTCAAAAAAGTAGAAGGAAAAAAGAAAATACACACTAATGGGGAGGGGCAACAAATGAATCATTCTCAAAAGGAAGAGGGGGTTTAGGCATGCTGCTGTGTCCTGTCACCATATCCATTTCCTCCATTCGCACCATTGGCATACTTATCAGCAGACCCAACAGCCCGCTTCTTCTTGATGACAATGAGCCATGTCACAGCTTCCCACACCAGAGCAGTGACCCCCAAGGAGATGATGACGCCAGTGTACGCGCTCTTCCACTTCTTCTCCGGGTTTAGGATGTCGAATCCCTCATAGATGTTGGTGATGCTGAGGGCGATGGTCGCATACCCGATCGCGTAATGGTAGAAGTTCCAGTACACTCTGTACTTGTGGTCTGGCTTTGGCCTCAGCAGCATGGCAAACATCTGGTTTAACAGAACAAAACACACCAAGACGTTTCCTTCCGTTAGTATCTTGTTCATTACAATGCGAATGGGACAGTGTATAATGGTAGCTAGCGTGAGCTTCAAGTAACTTTTTCTCCTAGCAATGTGATAAGGATATAATACACAATAGCAGAATCCCCATTTTATCCCTCTCGTTTGAATTTTGACATGTGGAAGAGGCAAGTGGGGGTTTTGCTTTTATTCAAAGATAATATATGCATGTTGCTTAGTCTAGGAAAAGTCAAGACATCGCAATGGAAGGTTCATTCAGCGAAACATATGTTGACCTTTTCAAGCATGTGCTAGAAAATTCAAACCAAGAACCAGTTGCTGCTACCATACCAACACCAATGCACTGACTCCATCAGATCAGAAGATTGGACGGAAGGCAAAGATGAAATAAATGGTTGGTGGTAGAGGGCACACATTCGTGATCTTCTCATATGCTAGTCTAGATACCAAATCCAACAAGTTGAACAAAGAAAAGATTTGTAAAGGATTAGACTTTTTAGTTGGGTTTACCTGAAGGGTGCCAAAGCAGAATAGGGTGATGCCAATGTTCCTGTGCTTGTTGTACTGAATTCCAACACTGTCACTGCCGAGTTTGAGACCCGTCCCCCAGCCAGCAACACCAATGATGTAGGCAGACAATTGGCAGGCAACATGGAGGTAGAACCATGCTGGGTTTGCTACGTGGAACACCTTCACGTACCTTGCTATCATGGCTCCACAAGGCATCAGAATTCCCCAACTCACTGCATTCAGAACTCCATGAATCTGCGCCAGAAAGATGGAACAGAAAAGGTCAACCTTCTATTCTAGAGCAAACTAGGATGCATACTCCTTATGGTTGTTAAGCTTGAAGATTTAGCCAGGTTAATTAGCACTTCACTGTGTAAACCCAACGACTCAGAATCCACCACCACCACATGGACCAAATAGGAAACTTTTTGTCTAAGAAAACTCGAATTTCTCGACCTCGAAGATCATTTACATAATCTTTTGCATGTTTGTAAAACCACACCAGAGATCCAACAAGTAAAGACCTCGAAAACTTTCAACATTCTCAGACCAGAAAGATCAAAATATGTGACTCTTTTTCATGTTTGAGGAACCATATCGAAAATGCGAATCAGTCAAACAAACAGTTTTTCCCAAGTGACCCACTTTGAAGGCTCTCCATCTCAAGGCTCAAGGGCCGAGATTAGACAATTTGAAAGTGCTTAACAGCGCAATTAAACCCTAATCATCAAACTAAACTTCAATCAGACACAAAATCAGGGTAAAGATGGGTGAAATTTTCCCAATATACTTACATTCCTCTTGCGGAGTCTTGAGTTACTGGCACCACCACCAGCAGTGGCAGCACCAGTCTGGAAATTAATGGTCCCAATCGACCTAACATTATCCCCAGTAGTGGAATGCATGGACGGAGCCCCACTGGTCAAGGGGCCCTCTTGCCAAACCTGATTGGTCGACAACAAATTGGCATCCAGATGCAAAGTAGCAAAGATCAAAGTCTCCCCATTACTATGCTGAGCTCTGAGGTTGGAAACTCTAAAGCTCAAGGTCCCTGGCCTCATGGAAGGGCCCAAGGAGTCGATCGATGTGGTGTAAGCAGTCATGGAGCCGTTGGGCTGCTGGAAAGCGACCAAAGCTTGGGAGCCAACCATTTGGCCTCCGCTAGGGTTAAGAGCCCAACAGACCCAGTTGGTGGGTGAAGTTCCAGTCTTTCTGAAGGCTATATCGGCGGTGGAGTTTTCTTGGTGGAATGTCCAGTGGAGATACGAGGTGAGAACTGGTAGATCTACGCAGGTTGAGTAGACTTGGTTGCTTGGTAAGGCCAAGCCGTTGCAGGTTTGGGCTTGGGACGGTGAGGTGAAGAAGGAAAGGAAGAGGAGGAACCCAGTAAAGATTAGAGCTCCAAGTGATTTACCCATGGCGGACACTTGGAAAAAAAAGGATTGATCTTTATGGTTGTAAGAAGAGACTAGCGAAATCTGAGAAATGGGTTCTGCTCAACTTTTCGCCCTGGTATTTGGGTTGTGTTCTCTTGAGAGGCTCTCTCTCTCACCAAAGGGAATTGAGAGAGAATTGTGAGAATGAGATGAGAGTGGAAAAGGGGAACCAGAGGGGGGTTTTATAAAGGGCTGTTTGTTTCGAAATTTTTCTTGAGGGAATTCGGAAGTGGAGAGGAAATAGCAGTTGAATACGATGGTGGCTTTGCTTGTTTGCTGCCGAGTTGTAGAAATTTGGAGGGGAAAGGTGGAATGGTCAAGGGAAGAAATTTTGCAAACTGGGTCGTATTTTCTTTTCCATTTTGTTTGTTTAACAGAAAATAAGAGGAAAGGAGAGTTGTGGGTTGTTGACTGGTTCTACTTCTACGTGTGGAGTTGGTTTGTAGAATACTAACTAATAGAATACTAGAGTCTTTTTCTAGTTTTCTCTTTTAATGATGCATTAAACAAGTTCTTAATTCCAGAGTTTGGTTAAACGAAGATTAAATGCAGTAACGTGTGCCTGCCATGGGAAGGAAGGATGATGGGAGACTGGGAGTTAACAAAATATCTATTGCGTTTAATTAAATATTATTTTCCCCCTACGTTTCATAATTTCATTTGGGGAAGGGGACTGTGTCTTTGTCTGGTTTGCTTGTCCTGTAGAGTAAGATAACTTTTTTATTATAATAGTAAAGAGATTATATGAAATTTCTTCATTCTTGATTTGTTGGGAATTTTACTTAGGCCAGCAGCAACTGGAGAATCATATTTGTTTGTGATATTGATTCGATGTTTTAACTTTTATTATTATTATTATTATTATTATTATTATTATTGAATTAGGTTATTGACATTAATATAGCATGGGAAATTCAATAGCATATAAAACATGTCCAATGTATGAAAAATCTGCTACAAAATCACATTTATATAATAGAAAAACATAAACGAGGCAAGGACCATAGTTGAATTACTACAAAATTATTTTATTAATCTAGTATTCTCATAATACCTTCGGTTGACATATGATATGATTGTTTTTTTTTTTACATTGAGCATGAACTTTCCCTAATGATAAATGTTAATTATGGCATTGCCTTTTACAAGAGAGATGTGTCAAGACCTAAGTGAGGATGCAAATGATAATGCAGATAGTATCTTCCTGAAGGAAAAATATGTTTATTGTACTATATCAAATCATACGTTAGAAATTTTGTTTTATTCATTTCCTTCTAATAATATATTTTTAAAATTTTTAATTTGTTAAATTTGTAGATTTTTCTATAGTCCAAAAGTTTTGAGATGTGAGATCCTTTAAAATGAAATTTCATTAATCATTTTTTTAAAAGGCTATCTCTAAAGGGTTGGAAAAATGACAATCCCTACTAATTATAGGATTTTAACGTAGGTTGTAGCCGCTTTTGAGTCGGGGGTGCTGCTAAAGGATGATGAAGAAACTCGCTATACGAAACGAGTGAGTTCGGAGGATGGGGATGGTGATAGGGAAGGCTATGGGTTGGCGGTGAGGGTTGATCCTGTGATAGATGAATATGGTACGAATCTCCAGCAACCAGCCCTGTTTTGCCATAAGCGCTCATTGGAGGAAGTGGAATGGGACGTGGGGGAGGACCCTACTCCGAAAAAGCAATTTGTGGAGGATAATTCTGAAACGGTGGAGGAAGCCAGCCGAAAATGGCCCCAGGCAGATAAATGAGGCTTCTCGCCTGAAACGTGCGTGGTATTGGGCCCTCCCTCACGTTCCAAACAGCGGTTGGGTTAATTCATTCCAATAAACCGGACCTTGTTTTCTTTTCGGAAACAAGATCGCGCCGGAGAGTAGTTCCCCGTCTTATGCGGGGGTTAGGTTTTGATATTTCTCATTGTTTTTTTGTTGCTATCAGTTCGTCTGGTGGTCTTGTTCTTGCTTGGGCCCCTGAGGTGGATGCCTCGGTTTTTTTCATTCCAACTTCTGTATTTGTGTTCGGATTAATGAAGTGGATTTTTCTTACGCTGTGGTTTTTGTTTACATTAGTTGTAATGCCGCAATAAGAGCTACCCAATTAGCTCATCTTCAGGACATTTGTTCCAACTTGCAATTACCTTTTGTGGTTATTGGTGATTTTAATTCTACTCTTCACACGAGTGAGAAGGATGGGGGCAATCAATGGAATGCGGCTCAGGCTATTAGCCTTCGCGATTTTATCCACGATTGTGGCCTTCATGATCCAGGTTTCCAGGGTGACCAGTTCACTTGGACAAATAAGCGGATGGGCGCGGCTTGTGTTCGTGAACGGTTGGATAGAGCCCTTTGCTCCCAACATTGGATGGATTAGTTCCCAGAACTCTGGTGAAGCATTTTACGGACCAGGGCTCGGATCATCAGGCTCTTCTCCTGTCTGATAAGCCCTACGTCCGCAATAGCCGTCCTCTTTTCCGGTTTGATGCTCGTTGGGCGGATAATCCAGAGGTGAGGGCAATGGTTCGATATGTCTGGGCGGAGCCGGCCCATGGAACTCCTATGTTTAGATTGTGGGAAAGGTTGAAAAGGCTTCGCCATCTGTTATACGATTGGAGTAGAGCTGGAACCACTAATTCCCTCCGGAATATCAATACACTCCAAGCTGAAATTGATCGAATCAAGTCTATCCATCCAATAGACTGGGATGAGGTGAAAACCCTCGAACTGGAGCTTAGCAGACAGTGGGAGGCAGAGGAAATATACTGGCAACAGAAGTCGCGAGTAAATTGGCTTAAAAAGGGCGATAAGAATTCCTCATACTTTCATACGGTCACGAGGGCTCGTTGTAAAAGAAATTTTGTGACTAGACTCCGGAGTGAGAATGGGGAGTGGATATCTGATGAGACCGGGAAAGCAGCAATTGCTAATTCCTTTTACCATAACCTTTTCACGTCTGAGAACCAGGTTCACGACATGGCAAGTAGGGTAGGTGATCTCCCTATTGCCCATTGTGTGACTCCTGAGATGAACGCTACTCTTACCGCTGAGGTCCTGCGGGCGGAAGTACAGAGTACCGTGTTTTCAATGGGGTCAAAACAGACACCGGGTTCTGATGGTTTTTCGGGGAATTTTTTCAAGGCCTTTTGGGATATAGTAGGTGACTCGGTCATTGAATCGGTCACGTCCTTCTTCACAAGAAGTCGGATGCTGCGAAGCTTCAATCATACTTGGTTAACTCTGATCCCTAAGGTGGACAATGTGGAAAACATCAAACATCTGCGCCCGATTAGTCTATGTCAATTTGTGTATAAGATTATTACCAAGATTATGGCAGAAAGACTGGCGGGATTCTTACCTGATATTATTTCGGAAGGTCAAAATGCTTTCATTCGTGAAAGACAGATAGTTGATAATATCCTCCTTGGTCACGAGTTAATGCACTATCTTAAAATCAAAACCCGGGGGAAGAAAGGATACATGGCTCTGAAGGTTGACATGGAAAAGGCCTATGATAGAGTTGAATGGTCCTTCCTGCTGGCGGTTTTGGAAAAGATGGGGTATGATGCCAGGTGGCGAGGTTGGATACACGAGTACCTCTGGTCCGCCTCTTTTTCAGTTATGATGAATGGTACTCGTTCGGGCTATTTCGCGCCTTCCCGAGGACTTAGTCAGGGTGACCCCTTATCCCCTCTTCTGTTTTTCATTTGCTCAGAGGGGTTTGCGGCCTTGCTCAGAAAGGCAATCCTGGCAGGCAATCTCGAGAGGGTAAAGGTGGCACCCCATGCTCCTCGCATTTCACATCTGTTTTTCGCAGATGACTCCTATCTCTTCTTGCGAGCCTCTCTCCAAGATTGCGAGAATCTCATTGAGGTGTTGAATGAATATGAGGAGTTGAGCGGTCAAAGGGTGAACCTGGAAAAGTGTGCGGTATGCTTTAGCAAAAATATTGTTGTACCCAATCAGGAGTTTCTGGCTCACATTTTGGGTGTGGGAGCAGTTGAGGTCCATGATAAGTACCTTGGGCTCCCAACCTTGATTGCTCGATCGAAAACGGCCACGTTCCGTTATATTGAGGAGAAATTGTTGGTTTGCTTGCAAGGATGGAAGCAGAAAACCCTGTCCTGGGCTGCTAAGGAGACATTGATTAAGTCTATTGCGTTGGCCCTGCCGTTACATGTAATGTCTTGTTTTAAGTTACCTCTTTCCCTGTGTTGGTTGCTGGATAAACATGTGGCCCGCATCTGGTGGGGTGAAGGGGAAGACCGCCAGAGGATCCACCGGATCTCTTGGAGGGTGATGTGTCAAAGTAAGCATGATGGGGGGTATGGGATTTAGGAGGTTTGAGCAGTTTAATCAGGCGTTGTTGGCCAAGATTGGGTGGCGTATTCTTAATGAGCCTCAATCTCTGTTAGCCCAAGTCTATAAGGGAAAGTACTATCCTAGAGGGGAGTTCTTGTCTGCCACGGCCCGTTCTCGCCCCTCTTGGGATTGGCAGAGTATTCTCTATGGCCGACAATTGTTAGATATGGGTCTTCAGTGGTAGATTGGGAATGGCCATTCGGCTTCTCTTCTTAAGTCCAATTGGATCCCGCGACTCCACCCTGTTCTTCCAGTCTATAATCCTCAGGTGTTGCCGCAGGGGGGGGGGGGGACCCTAAAGTAGCGGAGGTCATCTGTCAAGGGGAGGGGCGATGGTGTGATCGCAAACTTAGTCAGTGGTTTGACCCACCCACATGTCAGGCTATTAAAGTAATCCCTCTTCCTCGCCAGGATGTTCCAGATAAACTAATCTGGCATGCTACCAGTGATGGGGTTTTCACTATTAAATATGCCTACCATTTTGCTGTGCTCTTGGTTAAACAGAGTGGGAGGTGGCAGGACACGGCTAGTTGGCTGGATCGACCTAGTTGGATTTGTTTGTGGGAGGCTAATATCCCGCACAAGGTTAAGGTCTTTGTTTGGCAGATTTTTTCTAGAATCTTGCCAACTATAGAGGCCTTGCGGGAGAAGAAGGTCCCGGTTCTCCCTAGGTGCCCAGTGTGCTGGGCAGAGATGGAGACAATGGAGCATCTATTTCTTGATTGTCCGGTGGCAAGGGCTCTCTGGGATTATGCTGGGTTGGAGTATCTAGGTCAAGGTCTTCCGCGGCATACTTTTCCGCTCTTTCTAAAAAGAGTGATGATGTTAATCCAACAACCCTCTTTGTTTCTTAAGGTGGTTATGGTCCTCTGGCGAATTTGGCGCTCACGTAACTGGGTGGTTTTTTAGGGAAAGCAGTTTGGGTTCCCGGCCTTAGTGAGGCAGCTTAACCAGCAGTTTGATGAGTGGGATCGTTTGCCGAAGGACCTTGCGACCAATTCTGATCGGCCACAGGTGCACCCAGTGGGACTAGATGGACCGCAGGCAACGGTTTGTAGGTGGGATGGGGCAACGAGGAGTGGTTCGCATTCAGCTGGTGGGATGGTTATTATGAATCAGGCCGAGGAGATCATTTTTGCTAATGGGGTCCAATTTCGCATGATCGATGACCCTCTGGTGGTGGAAGTCCTGGCCCTCCGTGAGGCGGTTGATTGGTGTCTTGATCATGCATTCACGGATGTTCGGTTTGAAGGGGATGCCAAAGTAGTCATATATAAGATCTTGCTTGCTGATGCCAGGGATAACCGGATGGGAGCGATTCTTGAAGAGGTCATTCAATGCTTTGCCAATAATCCGGGGTTTAGTGTGAGATTTGTAGGTCGGCATAACAATAGGGTAGCCCACTTGGTGGCTCGGAAAGCCCTCTCTTTGTATCCGTCTATGAGTCGTGTGTTTGATTATCAGACCTGGCTGAATTCCAGGATATAACTACCTATTTTTCTGATCAATATATGCTTATCTTTTGTCAAAAAAAAATTGTGTTGCATTTAATAATCTATGGGAATTAAAAACTCATGTTAATTATTTTGTTTTTTCAGTGCATTGGTAATTGTATTAGTACAATGATATCAGTGTACAGGTGCAATGATAGTTGTATCAGTGCAATGGTATATGAAAAATTAAATGCAATTAATATAAATTTTTAATTACCAAAAATTATTTAATGCAACACAAATTTAATACAAAAATTAACTATAATTAATAGAGGTGTTTCTGTAGTCAAGCTAACTCATCCAATCATTATGGAAGAGTTGCTCATGGTTTTACTCTCTAACCGAAAGAGAAGTGTTTGGAGACACTTCGGATGTTTGAGTTATGAAGGTGAAAACTACAAAGATTAACAATGAAAGAAATATGAATTTTCCGTTAAGAAAGTGGAATAATGTCATTTCCCTTTATTGGCACAATTGCCCTTTTTGTGGTAATTTACTCATGTATATTGAACAACATCACAAATCATCATAGAAACTTCTAGTTTATGTTATTTGAGAAATTCTAATCCAATAAAAATTTATGTTAGTAAGTTTATAATAATAAAGGTAAATATAATTTAACAGTCAAACCTTTCGTTTTAAACAAAATAATAGATAAATTTTTAAAAACAAAATAATAGCCAAATCGTTAACTTTTCATCCGGTCAAACGATAGTTGACTATCATGTGGCAAAATCATTGATGAGGAGGCATGAATTTGATGACGTGGCACAAAATCAAACATTCGGCTGTGCCACATGGATAATTATAAATTTTAACTAATTCTTATATTGTTATGGAAAAAATTAAAAAAAATTATCTTATATCTTCTTTCCCTCCCTCCCGGAACTCCATCGACCTAACAATCGAACCTACCTTTCCTCAAGCGAATCGCGTTGATGTTAACCATCGTTGAACTTACCCTCTCCTAAACGTCTTTCGTTAGGTTTTCAATTTGAAGTTCGATTGCTCGATTGGAGTTTTATTCTTGTCGTTGTCTTGTTACTCTTTGGTTGGATTGATGCAGGGTCTTCATATTCGAGTTCCTCTTTCACCATCGCCAAGTTCCGCTGTCGAGCCGCCATGAGTTTCTTCCTCTTACACTTTTATGCCGTTGTTGGGACTTCCCTTTTCCATCCACTTACTGCACACAGGTGGCCAACATTGAAGTGGTGGTGTGATGAGGAGAACATGGAGGCGGCGTCCCCAAATCTCCTCGTTGTCCTACTTTTCACCACTAGACGACTAAGTCTCCTAGCTAGGAGGAATAGATGGAAGCATCGGAGGCATGATAGAATGAAATGGAAGGAGTGCATATTTATTTTTCCTTAAGAATATCAATGTGTCATAATAATAAAAATATTGATTATTTTCCACGTCATTTCCAACTCAGCAAGTAAGTTGTCAAATCAGAGTCAACTATCTGTTAACCGAACATAAAGTTGATGGTATAGCTATTAAATAATTTTCGAAAAAGTATGGCTATTGTTTGGGTTAATTGCATGATTAGTCACTGAGATTACAAAAAGCGTTCATGTTTGGTCACTCGAAATATTTAAATCCATTTGTGGTCCCTAACTTTACAAAAACCGTTCATTTATGGTCACTCTCCGTTAGCTGCCATCCAACGCCGTTAACAGCATCCGTTAAGTGATGAAGGGGCTGACGGATTCGCCTAATCATCACTTTTTAACCCGAAAATTGACTGACCCGACCCGCCACGTCATTTAAACTCGTCATGTCAGATAAACCTAACCAAACCAGACCCGCTAATTAAAACAGACCTGACCCAACCCACCAACTAATCTACCCACCTTTGACTAACACCTCTCATCCTCTCGCACCATTTCTCCTTTCTCTCGTTCTTCATCTCCCCACCTCCACCTCTCACAAGCGCCCTCGCCGCTTCCCCTTCCATCATCCTCCTCTCCTCGCTCTCCCTCCCTTTGAACGCCAAGCTCATCAAGTCCAGAAATTGCCACATGTACTCACCCTTCGTGAAAACCCCATCGGGAAATCCACACACCCGTTGGAGCTGCAATCCATGTTGTTCTCGCTCAGAACCACTCCCTTGGGCTCCAATCGCCTCAGGTTCTTCAAAAACTCTGTTCTCTCGTCGAGATTGTTGTGGCTCAGCCCGTGGAGACGGAATTGGGCACAGACGATTAGGGTTTCCTCATGATTCATGTCGATGATTTGGGGATTTAGGGTTTGCAACGGGCGGTTGTCGAGGCGGTTGATCTGCAGGTTTATGTTCATGGATTTGGCAAAACAAAGCAACCTGGTGGCGAAATTTTACCCCGGAGGTCCGATTGAGAACGAGATTTCTCTGATCTGGTTGGTATATATGGCGGCGGCGGTCAATAAATGGTTCTCACAAGCGGTGGCGGCCCGCCGGTGCAGCGGGTGAGAGCTTCGAGCAGGGTCGGCCACTGGACACCGTGGGAAACTCCGATATCGAGGATGTGAAGGTTTCACAATGGATCGGTTTCTTGACCTAGAATTTGGAGAATCGACGTGTTGGCGATCTTGTTCGGGAAAGAGAACCAGGGGCTGACCTCGTAGAATTTCAGCAGCGATTTCTAGAAGAATTTCGGCTCCATCGTGGCGAACATGATGGACCCGGCCGCCGTCGCCGGCGGCGGGGGAGAAGCAGGAGATAAGTGGTGGGTGAGGGATCGGAGGCCGTAGGCGGCGAGGCGGTGGTTGGCGCTTCTGGTGAGGGAGGAGAGCTCGTGGAGGACGTAGAGCAGGTGCTGGACGCGTTGAAGATCGTTGGCTGTGGCGTTGGATGATCGAATTTGATCGGGTTCTCAGGTTGAATCAGAAGGGAGGTGGAGTAATTTTGGAAAGTACTGTTATTGGTAGGGGGAAGAAAAAGGCTTTGAGGAGGAGTTGTTGTCGCTGCCATTGTTGATGTAGCGTTGAAGCTTCCATTGTGCTGATTGTGTTGCATCGGAGGAATGGCGGTGGTAAGAGGGTCGCCGCCGCCGAATTCGTCGGCCTGATTCCAACCCTAATCGAAGACAAATTAATCCGCCTCCATCCCGCGCCGCCTTAGGTAGATTAGTTGGTGGGTCTGGTCAGGTCTGTTTTAATTAGCGGGTCTGGTTTGGTTAGAGGTTTGGTTAGGTTTAGCTGACATGGCGGGTCGAGTCAGTCAATTCGGGTTAAAAAGTTCTGATTAGGCGAATCCGTCAGCCACGTCATCACTTAACGGACGCTGTTAACGGCGTTGGACGGCAGCTAACGGAGAGTGACCATAAATGAACGGTTTTTGTAAAATTAGGGACCACCAATGGATTTAAATATTTCGAGTGACCAAACATGAACGTTTTTTGTAATCTCAGTGACCAACCATGCAATTAACCCCTATTATTTTGTTTAAAACAAAATGTTTGGCTATTATATTATATGTACCCTAATAATAAATTAGCTTCACATGTATCATTTTATTAGTATTTTGAATTTTCTTTTGTCTATTTGTGATATCATACTAAGTAAAATTCAGCTTAGCCCCTCGACACACAATTCTTGGCTTCGCCCCTAACAACATCCAAACAATTGCCTCTTTTTGGTGGCATGAGGCAAGGTTTGATGACATCAAAATAACACTTGACATGTGGCTTTCCTAGCAAGATACCGACAACATTCAATCAGTCGAACAGTCTCATTGCTGAATTTCAACTTCAAAATCTCAGGGTGAAGTTTATCGCTATTATAGCCATAGTATTATAGGAATGTTAGGAATAGTAATTTGTAGCTTTGAAACCACAAAGGGGGTTTATATAGATTACAAGTCTTGGACAATAAGTAAGAGAACCACAATACTAGAAGGACACGGAAACACTAAGAACTATACTAGAAGGACAAGAAAATATAAGATTATTCCTAATCTATCTCTAACATGCCCCTGCAAAATGATGGTGCGAAGAACAACATCAATCTTGACCAAAATACACCAATCTTGAAGAACACGCCCCTGCAATGTGATGGTGTAGAAGGTGCAAACTCGTCGAATTCTTGTGCTTGAAGAACGAAGCCAATTAACCGTCGTCTTGGAGAAGAAGAAATCATCAAACTTGCAATTCATATGTTGGAACCAACTCACTCGTCGTCAAAAGTTGACCAGAAACGAGATGAATATAAATCAATTGATTTTGAAACGTAAACTGGTGTAGGACACGAGGCATTCATCCGAATGACCGTTGGCGGAGAAGCTTTCTTCGTTCCATACACGTGAAGAAGAGATAGCTGGAGGATGACCGTGGCTCCGCCATATAATTCTGCAAAAATCTTAAAATAAGATAAGAACAATAACATCGGCTATAAAAACCAGATCTTGATATCCAAGGACAAGGCAGCAGGGAACGATCCACGAAGAACAAAACAATCAGCAGAATCTGCAACAAAAATCAACGATTATAATATGTGATTGAGGAATGGTTTGGGGACTGCTATCTTGAGGTCGGGCTTGGGCGCTGATGGGGACGTGGGAGTGGGGAAAGCATTAGGAATTTATTGAGTAAAAAACTAATAAAGATTAACTAAGACCATGGGAAGGAAAAACAAGGCAAACGGGGACAATAGGTATAAACTAGTAATAGGGATTAGGGAATGCAAGAGGAATAATGAGCGGAAGGGAAAAAGCGACCGGGTGAGTGCCGGCTCATCCCGCCGGTGAAGGGAGGAAAAAAAAGTTTAAGGGTTCCTGGATCAGTAGGCTGTTAAGCAAGATGTTTCGATACCATATAGGAGTTTTAGGAATAGTAACTTGTAGCTTGTATTATTATGAAACCACAAAGGGTTTTATAAAGATTACAAGACTTGGACAATAAGTAAGAGAGCCACAATACTAGAAGGATACGGAAACACTGAGAACTATACTAGAAGGACAAAAAAAATATAAAATTATTCCTAATCTATCTCCAACGAGTCTTATAATTTTACTTTGACAAATTTGTACTAATCAACACTTAACAAAATCACATATACAAAATAGATTTTTTGATCCATTAAGCACGAATTTCCATGCTAGTTATGTTAGTACATTGGTTGGGCTTGGATTATTTCTAGACTTCTGGAATCCTTCTCTCTCTATGAGAGAACAAAAAAATTAGTTGATCCATGTTTCAACCACTCCTCCATGTTCACACGTGCTTTGTTCAAGGACCTGGTCTGTAGTTGTTACTTTGTTTGTGGTTCAAGAACAAAAGACCAGAATTTCGGCTTTGAATGAATATATAAATGAAAAAATATCAATTAGTTTATGACTTTTTTTTAGCACATTAGTTTATGACGACTTTGAAAATATATATATATATAAAAGTAAAAGGAGAAATGGGCCCTACACGTCGCTGCTTATGCCAATTGGCAAAAGAATGCCATGACGATGGAGAGAAAAAGAAGCTTGATCAAAATGGGGAAAAAAGAGAAGGGGAAGCAACCACTATTTGGTGACGGGGACGTACCAAAAATCGAACCTTTCACCTAACCAGCCACCCAAAAGTTAACCATGGTCCTTAAAAGCCATCAAAAGTGAAAAGACACTAAGACAGCAATTGCGTCAACTCTTTGTGGACAATTATAATTAGGACACCTACCTCATGGGTCCATTGGCCACAATTAAGATCTCATTTTTTGAATTTTGAAGGAATATTGTAGGATATATATTACCTACAAATTAGTGCTTTACTGTGGTATCAATACACTAGAGTCGTTTGGATGAGGAATTTTCACGGATCAATTTGACACAATTGTCTCGTTTTGAGACAATTGTACCAAATTGCCTCGTTTGTCAGCAAAAAAATTGGATGGATCAATCTGCCTGAGGTATTTTGAATTGATCCGTTTTGAGTCAATTTCAATTACCTGGGGTAGGGACAGGTAATTCGAATTGACTCGTTTTAATTGCCTCGTTAATAAAACGAGACAATTGATCAAATTGACTCGTTTCTAAATTGATCCATCCAAACGACAAGTTTGAGATGATAGGTTAAACATTTGTATATTTGTGGAGTCCTTTGTCTCTTCTCCTTCAATGAAGGACAAAAAAAAAACCAGAGAGAGTATAGAGTAAAATATGTTAACAACCCGTAATTTTAATTTGAGAGATGGTTTGGGTGTGAAATGGATAATGGTTAGGGATGAAAATTAAATTTATGATCGATTCGGTCATCTCTGACTCGCTCAATGCAAAAAAAAATTGCATTAATTTGGTATAAGGCGAGTATAGTGGCGGACCTAGGAATTAGCTGAAATAATCTATACATAGAGATAGAATACTACTATGGGTAGAGAGAAAAAAAAAAAAAAGAGAAGCTCTGTCCTCTCTCTTCGACTATTGCTTCTTGGTCGGCCGATTCCTAGTTCCTACTCTACGTGTTTGGTGCTCTCTTCGCCACCAGCTTTACGAATCAGCGAACGGACAGGAGCCGCTAGATCAATTGATGAATTGGTAAATCACTGGGAACCGCTAATATCTCAGGATTTCGATGGTTTCTCTTATATGAACTCACGATCATGGACCGCGGTGGTAAACGTGTCTTTCGTGAGCAGCAACAACGAAGCCCTGCTCTATGGGACGGGTGTAGAAAGCGTAGAATCAATGAATGCGACCTCAAAATGATCACACATTTTACAAATTAAACATCTTGGTCAATCTTTTTCATCTATAACATTGTGGCCTCAATTATGCATCAAAGTTATGAAATTGGCCAAACCTGAGGTTTGACCGTTATCTTGGACGGTCAAATGCGTTGACTAACGGTCAACGCGCCATGTCACTGCCAAATCAGCACAGACCACTTAAAATTTTGATTTTTTCCACCTATTATCATTTATCTTTTTTTGTTTACTTTGAACAAAAGAAGAAAAAAAAGAAATGCCAGTTTTTATTTGAAAAAGATAAATGGTAATAAGTGGAAAAAACCAAAAAATTTAAGTTGTTTTTCTGACTTGTCAGTGACGTGGTGTGTTGACCGTTAGTCAACGTGTTTGACCGTCCAAGATAACGGTCAAATATTGAGTTTGACCAATTTCGTAACTTTGATGCATAGTTGAGGCCACGATGTTATATACCGAAAAGATTAACTAGAATATTTAATTTGTTAAAAGTTCGGGCCACACAAATATATTAACCCTAAAATTTAATATGTATTACTAAATTGCACACATCTCTCACATAAATCCACTAACCACTCAATCAATAAAATAGAATTGGAATTGGAAGGATTTTATAAACTCTTTCTTTCTTTCTT